TGTTTAATTAAAGAATGCATATCCTTAAAGTGGCAATCTTGATCCAGACTGGCTGTTCAACCGTCTAAATCTTTACTTAATTTGGAAAGTAGTTGTAAATAGGTAGACCATTACTATGGCTGCCTAGTAGATATGTTGGTTGGCAAAAGCAGGGCACATCTTTCCTGGAACCGACTGAGATTGTCTCGAAGTTGGCATCAACTCTAAAGTTGCATTGTTAACAAACAATGTCTAGTCAAGGTGAATCTGCCTTCGTCTTTCGATGTGATCAACTCATTCGAATCTCTCCACCAAACACATTTTCTCTTGAAATGGAGGGCTGGTGATGAATTATAAAAAGCAAAACTTCTGTGTACATGACTTACTCTGCTCACAATTAGGTCCACTCCAGCCAGGAAGACAGAAGCACTCTCCCGAAGTGCCCCTTCCTGCTTCGCCTGACCCAGCTACAGACGCGGCGCCAGAATTCGCGTCTCCAGACGGCGCCATCTCATTGCCAATGCCAACACCACTGCCTGCATGCCTGCGTCGACAACCGCGAATCGGCACTCGTAGATGACAATGGGAGCCATAGAAACCAACGGGACAGATACACGGCAATCGGTGACGACGTATGGTAGTCTCAGCGCCGCCTTCCGACGTCTCGCTGCATCTGCCACCATTCAGGCAGGTTGTTGGGTCGCATACGTCTGTGACTGGGCAGGGAGGGACAGCAAACAACATAAAAACGATTAAAAATCTTTATTTACGAATAATCCTTTTTTGAGTAGTATATGAGTAGTATTTGAGACTATCTCAATGGGTCACTTACGCTGATTTTAGGCCTGGATAGTGGAATTAACTATTTTTCGAAGAAAAGTTGGGTTTCCATGAATCCCTTGTTCCACAATTGTTGAGCTTACTTCTATTTCGAGGGAAATGTTGGGTGAAGAGATTCGAATGTCGGTTTCACCAGAAGGCGACGGCGGATTCCTCTTGACCAGCTGTCGATTGGCTTTACTGAAAGATTCATGCTGACGCTGTTTCCGA